TATGGTTTAGTCACATAGACATTGATTATTTAACTGTTTGCTGAATGAGTGATATCTCCAATTTGAGATGTGCAATGACCAAAATAACTTGGAAGCAGATGTTGCAGCCCCAGTGAGGGACTCAAAGGCTGCAACTTCCTGAGAGACTTGAGTTAGAAAAGCTACTCCCAGAATCTAACTCCCCAGAAACTATGTGCAAAATAACAGTAGTTTCAGATGCTGAGATTTGGGGTAATTTGTTATACCCCTGAAAATCTTATGGTTTAGTCACATAGACATTGATTATTTAACTGTTTGCTGAATGAGATATCTCCAATTTGAGATGTGCAATGACCAAACATGTCACATTTTTAAAGGTCCCTTAGATTTAAAACAAGGAAGTAGATCTATGTGCAATCTTATGAAAAGATTCTGAGATATATTGAGTGAAAAAAATCAAGTTGTATAATAAGATATAGAAATATATAGATATATAGATATATCTATATATATCTCCATCCATCCAGTTTGTTCCAAAGTTGTCAAAGAATTCACCAGGGGAGGAGCAGCTGACTGACCAATCTATGACCCCAAATCACTTTCACTTTCACACGGAGTAATTTTCACTATTAATATTTACTATTCCAGTTCTTGAGATACTCAGCAGGTTTGCTTACACCCTAGAATTCAACATTTATAAGTTGAGGCACCTATTTAACACTGTTCAAAATCATTTTTAGGTAAAAAAGCATTATAAATTTATAGTATGGTTAGTAAATGAATGATCTAACATGAACATACCAACATTCCCTTCCCCTGACCACAGTGACATGCTGATTTCTATCATAGAAATTTAGAAATGGAATTATATATCAGCATATTTTAGAGATTTACATATGCTGTGTATGTTAGTCATTTATTTCCATTGTTGAATAATATTCCCTTGTTTGTCTGTTCTACAGTATACTTGTCCATTCACCTTTCGGTGGCATTCAGGTTGTTTCTAGTTGTTGGTTTTTATGTATAATGCTGCAAAGATTTGTGTATAAATCTTTTGTGGGCATATGCTTTCATTTCTTTTGACTAAATACCTAAGAGTGAATTGCTGAATCATAGGGTAGATACATATTGTATTTTAAAGGAACTGAAAAGCAATTCTCCCTAATATATGAGCCATTTTACACCTTGGCCAGCAATGTATGAGTTCCCTTTGTTCTCAGTAACATTTGATTGTATGAAGTTTTTTAGCCAGTCTAGTAAGTATAAAATAGTATCTCATGACAACTAAGAGTTGAGCACCTTTTTTCATGTGTCACTTTTTTTCTCTCTCATTGAGTTTATTGGTACATTTTAGGCATACAGTACAGTTCCATTCATCATTGGGATCTTGTACCTTTTCATGACAGGTCTTGGTTCTCATTTATTCCTCCTTACCCCTGCCTTTCCTTCACCCCCTCCTCCCTTCCTTCTATATCAATTGAGATTTTTATGTGGAGTCCATCGTTTTGATTGCTAAAAGTAAACTATATATTTGGATGCGAATATTATTTTATTTTCATGTGGAAATAAGAAGCCCATTGAAAAATAGATTTGACTTTACTTCTATCATATACATAGTATTCATTGTAGAAAATGAGAAAGTACACATAGACAGACATAATTAATAGATAATAAAGGCCAACAGTTGCTCAGCAGTAGCAGTCTCTAACTATCCGGTGTAAATCTTTGTATTTTGTCGTGTTTTTTCTTTTCCCTTATTTCCTTTCCCCTACCCCCCATGTGTCACTTTTATATCTGACATGTGTGTTCTGAGCCCTTTTACACTCGTTTTTGAAAGTTTGCTCTTGTGCAGGTGTCTTTCCACGATGCCTGCCATATGCAAATGATACCTCAGATTCCCTCAAACCAGCAGGTCGACCTTTCCCTCTGTTACTCTCGTGTTTTTTCTTTTCCCTTATTTCCTTTCCCCTACCCCCCATGTGTCACTTTTATATCTGACATGTGTGTTCTGAGCCCTTTTACACTCGTTTTTGAAAGTTTGCTCTTGTGCAGGTGTCTTTCCACGATGCCTGCCATATGCAAATGATACCTCAGATTCCCTCAAACCAGCAGGTCGACCTTTCCCTCTGTTACTCAGGCTCCTTCTTAACATTCAGGACCCCTTAAGTCCCCCTGACGACTTCTGTTCTGAGTCATGTGCCTATAAATGGGGCAGGGGAGGTGGGAGTGGAAGGTGGGATGCGAGTGCAGCATCCGCGGCCTAGTTAATGGGGTACACACCGTCTCCCTGGTAGTAAGAGGGACCAGAGCACACTGCAGTTTCTACTGTACCCAAATGGACTTTCGTCAACAATGGAGGAGGGTTCCTTTCTCCCCACAACCCCTCCAACATTTGTTATTGTGTGATTTCTTGATAGCAGACTCAGGCTCCTTCTTAACATTCAGGACCCCTTAAGTCCCCCTGATGACTTCTGTTCTGAGTCATGTGCCTATAAACGGGGCAGGGGAGGTGGGAATGGGAGGTGGGATGCGAGTGCAGCATCCGTGGCCTAGTTAAGGAGGGTTCCTTTCTCCCCACAACCCCTCCAACATTTGTTATTGTGTGATTTCTTGATAGCAGACTCAGGCTCCTTCTTAACATTCAGGACCCCTTAAGTCCCCCTGATGACTTCTGTTCTGAGTCATGTGCCTATAAACGGGGCAGGGGAGGTGGGAATGGGAGGTGGGATGCGAGTGCAGCATCCGTGGCCTAGTTAATGGGGTACACACCGTCTCCCTGGTAGTAAGAGGGACCAGAGCACACTGCAATTTCTACTGTACCCAAATGGACTTTCAGCTTTCTGTTTTCTTTCTTTACTTCTCTAGTTACTAGGTTATCTTTGGTCACCACCCCCAAATTTATGTGTTCGATCGCGTATATATGAAAATTTGGTTCATTAGATTTGCCTGTACTTTTCTTTGAAAGGCAAATTGAAATCAATATTAGGAAGATTCTTCTCACACGTGTAAATACTGAGTAGTTTCTCTGGTGTGAAAAACTAATAATGTAAATTAAATCCAAACTGTATAACTGATAATGTGAAATAGGAAGAAAGGGGCTATCCTAAAAATAAAAAGTAACATAGGATGAATCGTATCTCAGAAAAGTAGGGATCTATCCAATTTCAAAGATCTCTACAGAAACAAAAAAGAAAAAATAAATTGAGTGTAGTTTCAATAAGTCAGTTAGTGAGCCTCTCCTCACTTCCTGTCATGGAAATATCTAGCAATAGGAATGAGATTGAAGATACTAATTCAACTTTCTGTAATCAGTAAATAATACCCAACAAAACCAGAAGCACTTTGCAGGCAGGATCTAATCTTTTTTTCCCCTACATCCTTTGGCACTTAGCCCAGTGCTTACAAAGGCTACAGAAAATGCCTGCTGATTGAACTACTTTTCAATCTCACTAATTTTTTTCTATGCAATATTCTCCCCCTATACCCTAATTTTTTAAAAGCATAATTCACCAAGTATCTTATTTTCTGTAATTTGGTATCAATTTTTCATTTTTTTCTGAAAGTAAATAATGGCATGTTATTTGTAAGCATTTGTAAACATTTCCACACAATTGAGATTTTTATGTGGAGTCCATCGTTTTGATTGCTAAAAGTAAACTATATATTTGGATGAGAATATTATTTTATTTTTATGTGGAAATAAGAAGCCCATTGCAAAATAGATCTGACTTTACTTCTATCATATACATAGTATTCATTGTAGAAAATTAGAAAGTACACATAGACAGACATAATTAATAGATAATAAAGGCCAACAGTTGCTCAGTAGTAGCAGTCTCTAACTATCCGGTGTAAATTGGGAGGCAGTGCAGGGCAGTGGAACCACACCGGCTAACCTAGATTTGTGTGTCAAGTTCACCCTTTCTAGAAATGATTCTACTTTCTTGTCACCTCAGATTCCTATCTGTAAAATGGAGATAATAGTGGTACTTTCTTTGTAGGCTTTCTTGGTGAAGGTTACATGGAATAATGCTGTGAAAGTCTTATTGTACAAAGTAAAGTGTGCTGGGAACTGTTTCTACTGTTACTCTTCCAGATCTTTTCCTATTCATATATACATTTAAAATAAAATCAATTTTTCTGTGCCTATCGATTTTTAGCCTGTTTCCCACCAAATAGTATATGGCCAAATCTTTTTTAAATGACATAAGCTATTTAGTGGATGTGCCAAAATATATTTAAACAATATCACCATAAAGAATGAGAAACATGAGTCATTAATAGGAAAATGGATGCATATTGAGGCCATACTCGTAAGTGAAATAAATAAGACACACGTGTAAATACTGAGTAGTTTCTCTGGTGTGAAAAACTAATAATGTAAATTAAATCCAAAGTGTATAACTGATAATGTGAAATAGGAAGAAAGGGGCTGAAGGTGTAGAAGTGGGAAGGGTAGGGGAAAGGTAATAAGGGACAAGAAAAAATATGAGAAAAGGAAAAAATTGAAACAAAATTTTGTAACTAGGGAAAGGTGGAGAGGGTAAAGGGAGGGCAGGGGTATGGGGTAAAAATGAGAACCAAGATCTGTCATATAAAGGTACAAGATCCCAATGATGAATGTAACTGTACTGTATACCTAAAATGTACCAATAAACTCAATGAGAAAAAAATAATATCTTTATTTTCCTATTTTTAATTGTTATAAAATAAGTTAAATTAATATTTAGTTGAGTGTTTTACTGAAATAATGTCCATATTTAGAATATAATAAGTGACAGGATTTTTACAGTTTTTCATTATCTTTTTCCACCTTTGATTTGGTGGCAGAGAAAAAGAATTTCCACTTTTTAGTGGAAGTTTACAGATTATGACTATGCAATACACTTCTTTACAGAGACTTTGGGTAGGCAGATAAATATTTTACAAGCAAAACCCCAGCCCCTGACCTTACTTCCCTGCTTGTGGTTCTGCTGAGATTCTGACCCCCACCCTACATCTGCTTTCTCTCTCCAGACCAATTCCTTTCTTTCCTGTGGTCAAGAGAACAAGCTGGCCATAACATCACATAGCTCACAGTGGTGTCAGGCTGGCATACATCACTGCCCACAGTTTTGCCGGTGGCAGTTCAACCAAGAAGTGGTCTAAGTCCAGAGGGAGTTCAACCACAAAATCTCAAGGAGGTAAGTAACCATGACCAACAGATTCTGGCTTCCAAGTTATTTTTCTCTGGCTCTCAACCTGATCCTCTGTGCTCTGATACCAATTCCAGAACGGTGGTGTGAGGACTTTTTTGAAATTGTTCCCTAGCAAAATGAGCAGCCAATGAAAAACAGTTTTTTAAAACAATCACTTGATGTCTCTGGAGATAGTCCAGAGGGCAAAAAGCAAATGGAGAAACATTTGGTCAAAAGCATCTACTAAATTTGGATAATGAGAGCCCATGGCACTTGTGTGTCTGCTTCTGGCCACTTCTCTATCCCAACTCACTGTGATGGAAGACTGCAGAGTGGTATGGGGATCCATGCCCACCCATGTTTAGACAAGCAGTACTTGTAATAGCTAAATCTTGGAAGGAGCCCGTATGTTCATCAGCAGATGAATGGATAAATGAAATGTGCTATTTACACACAATGCAGTACTCTTCTGCCATAAAAAGAAAGATAAACAAGTCATTGGTAGGAAAATGGATGTACTTCAAGTTTGTAGGAAAATGGATGTACCTCAAGACTATAATGTTAAATGAAATAAATCAGACACTCTATCTTGAATATTAAATGGTTTCTCTTATTTGAAACACCCAAATTAGAAATAATGAGCAAAATAACAAATAGATAAGAACTAGGAAAACATATCTTTTTCAAAGAGATGGAAGAAAGGGAGCCAAAGCGTGTGCTCTGATACCAATTCCAGAACGGTGGTGTGAGGACTTTTTTGAAATTGTTCCCTAGCAAAACGAGCAGCCAATGAAAAACAGTTTTTTAAAACAATCACTTGATGTCTCTGGAGATAGTTCAGAGGACAAAAAGTAAATGGAGAAACATTTGGTCAAAAACATCTACTAAATTTGGATAATGAGCGCCCATGGCACTTGTGTGTGTGCTTCTGGCCACTTCTCTATCCCAACTCACTGTGATGGAAGACTGCAGAGTGGTATGGGGATCCATGCCCACCCATGTTTAGACAAGCAGTACTTGTAATAGCTAAATCTTGGAAGGAGCCCGTATGTTCATCAGCAGATGAATGGATAAATGAAATGTGCTATTTACACACAATGCAGTACTCTTCTGCCATAAAAAGAAAGATAAACAAGTCATTGGTAGGAAAATGGATGTACTTCAAGTTTGTAGGAAAATGGATGTACCTCAAGACTATAATGTTAAATGAAATAAATCAGACACTCTATCTTGAATATTAAATGGCTTCTCTTATTTGAAACACCCAAATTAGAAATAATGAGCAAAATAAAAAATAGATAAGAACTAGGAAAACATATCTTTTTCAAAGAGATGGAAGAAAGGGAGCCAAAGCACATGAAAAAAGAAATTAAGATATGTTATATACATGTACAACTCCACACAAGGGATCAATCATTATGTATTGCAAATACATACCAAAAAAAAAATACGGAACTCAATCCTATCTCCCCGCTTCCGGGCTCCCTCCCAGAGTACAGGCTACCAGTGTTGTCCATCCCTCTCGGCTCCGTACTGTAGAGGCTAAATAATGCAGCCAAGAGACTGGGGACTTCTTTCCTTCTCTCAGCCCCTAGTGCTAGAGCAGAGACTCTAGTCTAGATGTGACAGGTCAAGAAATACCAAGCCCCAGTTTCTCTTGCCCAGTTTGCTTCCAGGGCAGAGG